TTGATAACAATCTTGCGAGTGTGGTGTCTCAACACTGAGGGCATCGCGGTACAAACACAAAAGCCAATCTTCTGCAAATTGTTTGTGAAGTGCTGAAACCATCTCTGAGCCCCGTTGCGCTGTCCTGGTAGAACACGCTTCACCTCCCAAATGGTATCTTTGGGCAAATGTAGCAAATCCTTCATCCACTGCGAAATCTCAACGTAGCAAACTTCCTTTTACTCGACAGTGAGGTATGCATCTGAGATATCAAGACTTGCCAACTTCCAGCCTTGGGAAATATGACGCAGAAGGAAAAGACGTACAACAGCATGGGAAGAGGTCGGAGAAACTGTTTCTTCTCTATATGGTCCTGTTCTGTGTTGGCGAAAACGCCAATCAAACACTTCCTTCAAATCCACCCATTTTCCTTCTGGATTCATTTGCTGTCTTCTCAACACCTTCACACCGCTCGCAAAACGCGCCGCCTTTCTCTCAAGCTCTTCTCCAGCCTGTTCTGCTTCTCTCCTCTCTTGCACTGGTCCTTCATGGTCCACCTCAAGTGTCTGTTCTGGTGTACTTGGGATGATGGGGATTCCCAACAAACTTTTGCGCTGCATTGTTGACAAACGCTCCAATTGTTCCTCCTCCAACGCTGTTCGACCTCCCTGTTCATCGTGCTCCCAACTTCAGTAGGATCATAGGATTCTTGATCTCTCACCTCTTCAGCTTCTTCGTCAATTTCACCTGAACTCATGAGGATGGGATCTCGGCAATCTTTCTCTGGCTTCTCTTCAATTGAAGGTAAAGGAGCCTCCAAAAGTCCAACCGGTCCTGAACTTTTCATCTTTGTCCATGGTGAAGAAACCAATGATTTGATGACATCTGGTCTCCAAGCGTGCGAACAACGTCTCCTCCTGCAGTCACCAACACGTGCGTATCAGCTTCATCTTTACCAATCCAGATTCCTCTCTGCCACACGCTAGTACCCTTCTTCTTCAAAGGTTGTCGTAGTCGGAGCGCGAATTCACCGAAGGGAAGGATCTTACCCTGGTACTTGTGGCCAAACACGGTCTCAAAGGCTGTTGCCCTGATTGCTGAGTGTTCATGAAATCTGTTGAGGAGAAATACAGAATGCACAAGAGCCCATGCGCGAAGCCGCGAAGACAGTGTAGATCGTCCAGCAACTCATGGATATTGTCCGCAACACTAGTCATCAATGCGCTTGATCGCCTGCGGATCGTCTGGATATACCTCTCTACACGGGCAGTCCTGCCCTTGTGGTAGGGCTTTCCAACCTTTTTTGATGTCTTGTAGCCCATGTCTTGTCTAACCATGACAATCACAATCATATCCAGCAAACCCAATGTAGCAGGCTCTAAATCCATCACGTAGACAACCTCTCCCAAGTGATTCAAACCAAGGGAGAATTTCAGAGCTGAAGAAGTACTACAAGTTGCAGGCAGAAGGGCCATTTCCAGTTGAAGGTCTGGGATCCGGAAAAGAGTTGAGTTTTTTGAAGAAAACGTACATTTTGCAAGCTGACGGAATCGTTATGAAGCCAAATCCTAGGTTCGCAGACAGTTTGGTAAAAGTGTACAACCTGCAAGGGCGGAAAGAGAAGCAAGTTTCTGAGCATAGTTTGTTGACACAACCGGACACAACAGCTGATCAGCTTTTCGTTCAGGCTTAGGGACAGCAATGTACATGTCGCATGAACGGTTGGACATTCATCCTGGGAGCAGTGATGTTGGGCGGAACAAACGAAGTGAAGGAGGTAGTTGGAGAAGACGAACAAGTGGCATATTTTGCAGATCAATTGTGGAAGAACCAAGTTCGAAAAGCGTGTCGTTGAGTGCACAATGTGAACAACAGACGGCTAGCGCAGAGTGCAATTCTGATTCAGGCTTTGAGCATGAAGGGATGCACAGAAGGTGATGAAGCGATGAACATGGACCAGAGTGACCAATGACCAACAGCAATTTTATTTGACAATGATTGTTCTGCTGGTGTTGGGCACCCCCATGGGCATGAGGTGACAGCCATTTTAGCTGGAAGAAGAAAAAAGAGAAAGCTGGAAGAAACGCCAAGAGAAGAAGAAGAAATGTTGGAAGAAGGTGAACGCGAAACCAGAAGAGAACGATTGAAACCACGGCTGGTGCTTCCATCAGCACCAGGAGCAAGCTCTTCCAGCCAGATCCCAGATGAGGGTGTGCCCAGGGCTCCTAGATTTCCACCACCTCCTACAACTTACAACTGAGGTGGGCGCCGTGGAGTCCTGAATGGTTTCTCTACTGGGTGGTGACTAGAAGATGAGAGAGAGAGAGAGAGAGCAAATGACTGGTTCAAGGCGGCGTGCTTATGAGCAGAGAAGAAGGCTTCTTGGTGCAACATTAGCAGCGTTGGAGTTGGGCCATAGCACAAGGACAAGACAGCGAGCGCATGAGTTCTGTTTCAACATGACAATTCACCGGAATTCTTTACAGAAGGTGATTCCTGTTGATTCAGCAAGAGGCGCTGGAGAGTTGGTTGGTGGTGAGGATCAAGGTTATTTTGACCCTGACAATGTGCCGTGGAGAAACTATGGATTGAATGATCCTGGAACGATTGGGAACAATACAGAACGAAACAATGAAGAGGATGCTGAAGACAATGAGAGTGAAGCGGGAGAGAACGAATCTGAGGACACACGAGTTGCGAGATAATTGAACTCACGGCTGGAGGAATGTTCAGACCCAGAGATGTGGATGGGGTTACATCACTGGAGTGAGTAGCCCAAGTGAAAGTGAGAGAAGCTATACAGGTCTTACTGACCAGGGCGAAGATGAAGCGGCAGAGGAAGACAACGGTGAGCTGGAAGGTGAACCAAGGATGGACGGTGGTTAGTTTCAAATTTCAATATGCATGGCCCGCGACATTCGTTGTAACAGCTGAACCAACGAATTGTCAAGAGGAGCACAACGATTTGCAATGCATTGGTGGTTTCCTTTACAGCTGGATTTCGTTGAGCATTGTACAGCTTAGAATTTACAATGAGTTCTTGTGGGAATGGCATTCAGTTGCCGGAACGGGCCATACTTTTTATGGACTAGATGTGGGGCGGACTTTTCCTGTGACCCTTTTGTAGATAAGGGGGTTCTCCACCGAGGAAAAGCGGGTACAAAGTTCCGCTGTCTCGCAAAACTTTGAGGCGGCGTGTCAAGCTTTTCTCTACTCTAGGTAGGAACAGATGTCATGATGACTTGTGTAGTATCTGTTCTTATCAGCGTACGTCCGCAGCGCGTGGTTCGTAAAAGGGCAGCTACTTAACATTTTTTAAGAAGTCACAATTATGGTAGGTCTACAAGGAGTTCGCGCAAGGCTCGAGTTAGCTCCGCGCCAGCAGGCATTTGCACCCAGTAGTCCACAGCCTGTAGGACCTGAATGTAGGTCTTGGAAAGTGCCATGTTGAAAGATGCTGGACGAGACGCTTACTGGTATTCATGTAAGGCAGCCCTATAGCTGAGTTTTAAAGCCTTTAGCGGGAAACAAGCAAGACCACGCAAAAGAGACAAGGTATGACATGGTATGACCATTGATGCCAGTGATATGGAAAACATGAAGCGGCGCGCATGGATTTCTGAATTCACGCCGTTTTCGGTCAACCGAACATTTTGCGTTTCTTCCTCAAGGGGGTTGACCTGAGGCTGCTTCTCAACAAGACGCTGGCCCAAGTGCAAAGTGCGAAGAAAACAGAGTGAGGCCAACAGGATGACTATATACAGAGAAAACCAACCAAAAAAATCATTTTTCGGTGCTACAACCCAGGACTCATTAATTTTCATGAGAGGCATTGCTAGAGGATGACTAGAGTTTGGTCCGCACATTCTGACATCATGAGCTGATGAGCCACCTTAGCACAGCTCTTCCCAATTGGCCAAACTTAGTCTTGACTTGGCTTTGGCTGTTTCTGGCTCACGCGGCATGTTTTGGGAGACCCATGGAGACCGTAATGCAGCCATGAATGTGGAGACCGGCTTGCCCTGCGCAAGCGTGCCTGGCCTGGGTGGGGATGAACTGCCAAGCTTCAGTGCTGAACAATGCCCAGAGGAGTGGATGCGGCCCTTTTTGGAATGCACTGCTGAAATCCCATTGTGTCATATGTGTAAGAAAATCGGTATTCCAAGTGTTCCAGCTGGTCCGGAACTACCCTGGGTGATTTCTTTTGCCGGAACAAGGAAAAGGAACGGAAGGCGTGCGAAACTGGGGCCCACATTGAAGAGTCTCCGGATGACATGCAACGACAAACTTTGTAGAGCTGGTAAATGGATAAAAAATTGTGCGACGCCTGAACAAGCGTAGAAATACTATCATCATCGTTTGTCAACTCTGAAGCATTTGAAATTCATTCATTTATGATCATTTGTGTATGCAAGTAGAAACATCGTGTCACAGTGTCAAGTGTTCAAAAGGCCATAGGTCTCCGGTCTTAAAACAAAAACCATCACATTGGTGACTGTTTCGTCAATCAGCAGTGTTGGACTGCGTTCACGAAGTTCAAGTAGGTTGCGGAAACACCAACATACTTGCTGGGCTGAGCTTGGATGGAGGACATAAAGATCGTTATTCATCTGGTTGCAGACCCAAACTTAGTTCAGGAACATGTAGCAAATTTGTTTGACGTTCTGAATTGAGTGGCCGCACTTGCACGTTTGCTCAGGCGAGTTTAAAGAGGAGTCCGACATTTCAAAGATATTGGCCCTGGGGCAAAACCCTTATCCAGAGGAGCATTGGTGGAAGTTTTGAAGCTCACGGCAAACTGTTTGCAGTTTTTTGTGCGGTGTTGTTCATTCTGGCTGTGGTTTGTTGCAGCTGTCGCCTACTTTGGTGGGTGAATGTGCACTATAGAATCTATAGAACGTGCAGCCACATTTCAAACAAAACATCACCAGGAGCTGCGACCAGTTTGTGTGCAGTGCGCAGGCCCGGCTCATATTATCACACTGACAGCAGTGTTTTGTTGAGAATTGGCAGTGAAGCCAAGGAAAGTGGATCAAATACCCAAAGTATATTACAAACCTGTTGGGCACTAAGTATCATCGTTTTGAGATGTCCTTGTGCTTCAAACGTTGTTGATCATGAAAGCATTCAATTTTGGGTTGCCTTTACGCATTTTTGGCCAAGCGCCCAGGCTGCAAACCCTCGTAGACAAAGGGCGGGTCCGAGTCGCCGAACTTGTCTTTGATTTCATGCGCGGCAATGGGATTGAAATGGGCACGATCCACTGGAATACTATGATTTCTGCATTGCAGGCCTTTTGCATTTGCACTGCAATTCAGCCAACCTTCCTTTTGTATTTTCAGTGCAATGTTGACAAAAAGGATGTTTTGAAGCAGTCAAAGGTAAGTCCTGGAGTGTGGAGTGTGGACCTGTTGGCAGTTGACATTTCTTCTGAGAAACATGTTTTGGACCATGAGTCCCATATTCATTATTCCTTAGCAGAGCAGGCGCCAAACCTTGTAAAGTGGATACGAAAGACAGGGCGTGTTGCGATTGAAAGACGCATGCAATCAAGACACGTCGTTGTGTTGTCCCGGTCCACGCCCTAGCTCCCCTAACTGCAGGGGTGGGGTAGTGGTCCGCCTGTCCGCCTAGTGTGTGCCCCTGAGGATTGAAGCCGGTCCGGCGCATGGGGATGTGCCATAGCCACGGTCCGACCATACCGGCCCTTTGCAATCAAGACACGGACGTAATGACGTAATACGACCCATGCGCCTACGCGATCCTTTGTGAAAACCGGCTCCTCAAACCTGCTCTTGGCAGATCACGGATTCTGTCACTTCAACTGCACACTACAGTATTTGGCAAAACCTGTTTCGAGACAACATGAGTTCTGTACGTGTGTTTAAGATTTCGGCAGAGAAAGCTCGACACAGCACCCACACCAGCAAACAAGGGGAACCATGTGGCACCACTGTCATTCTTGTTGTCAGTTGCAAGTTATGCATGTTGCTGCGCTGAAAGAGTGGTGTGAGACCTGTATCGGGAACTATGATCAACCCATGCCCCTGTTTCCAATCCCTCGTCTTTGTGCAAAATGCAGCCTCCCATCTCCTCAGGACACACCAGAGACCGGTCTCCAGTGGTTGGATTGGATGAAACATTCAGGTGTGGAGCCTGATGTTGTCTCTTACAATGCCGTCCTGAAGCAATCTCAGCACACAAAGGATTGGCAGAAATCTTTGCAGATTTTGGAAGACATGACAAGAGATCAGGTTGCGGCAAACATCAGAACCTTGAACACTGTAATAGATACGTGTGTGCAGTCTGGACAAAGAGCTCTTGCTGTACAACTTGCACTTTCTTTGTACGAATGGCACCTGGAAGTCGACGTCTTAACGTGCTTATCCCTCATAGACGCCTTTCACGAGTATGGAGGATGGCAGAAAGCATTGAGTTTGTTGTTTGGTATGCCTCAGCTGGAATTGGAGGCAAACGAGTTTTGCTTCTCAAGTGCAATGGTCTCGTGCAGAAATTCTCATCAATGGCAGCGGGCATTCCATCTATTCTACTCGATGCAAGCGTTTCAGCTGCTTCCAGACGCAGCTTGTTATAGCGCTATGATTGGGGCTTGCGAAGAGTCAGGGACGAGCTGGGCATTGGCCCTGAGCCTTTTGAGGCAAATGATGAGATCACAAGTGGCACCCAATCACTCGTGCTTCACCAGTACTCTGGTCTGTTTGAAGATCCCTCAAGAGTGGTCTATTGCAATGGAACTGCTTTCATTCATGCCACAATTTGGTATCATTCCTAATCACATTCACTGGAATGCTGCAATGAGTACCTGTGCTACTTCTGACTGGCAGCAAGCCCTTGTACTAATGAACATGATGCGAGACCTCGGTATACATCCCGACACTGACACAGTGGCAATAGCCATGGATGCTTATCAAACTGCGAGTCTGTGGCAGACTGCTTTGAATATGTTTAGGTCCATGCCAACCTTGGAGTTGTTTCCAGGGATACGGAGTTACAATAGCGCATTGAATACCTTGCACCAGATGGAATGTGGATTTGAAATCTGGAGCAGCGCGCTCAAGGAAGGGGTATATCCCAAGTTGCTTAACAAAGGACACTTGTCATAGTGAGGGTGTATTTATTGCTTTCTTGCTTGAGCCTGTTGCGATGGCACAAAAGCCACAGAAAAAACGTGCCAAGGACGCAACATTTTGGATTTGCACCGCTTGTCCCGTGGTGCTGCGCAAATTGCGCTACGATGGTGGCTTGGAGAGGCGAACGGGGCACCCGGAGCCGTCGTTGTGTTGCGTTTTTCTGATAGCGTTTCATTGTTGTTTCATTGGTAATTTCATATTTCAACCTAGCAAAACTCCCACCTTGGGCGTGTTCAAGACACAGATCTGAGGATTTGTGGCATAAATAAGCGGATGATGCATAGGCATGGACAATCATATACTGTATACGAAACCTTTGTGCGTGTGACCTGCTGGTACACGCGGGCTTTTTCGCGATGAAATCAAAGCAGCATTAAACACCTCCGTTTAACCATGTGTTAAGGAGTTATCACTATTTTTGTTGCTTTCATTTGTGGTGAGGCAACGCACCAAACCTCGCTTCACTCAAGGATTGCGGCGAGTGGGGTAGTTAGGATCGTGCAAGCAAAACAGACCAGTAGCTCATTAATCGGCGCTGGCGAACGAAGCCAGAGAAATGGGTGGATGAGTCTGTGAACGCACAGAATCGCACAGACATGCACCTGCTTTTCACACCTGTTGATGTGCTCAGCAATCATGATCCGATCTAAATTCCCAGGCTGCAAGCAGAGATGGTGCTTGTCGCTGAACTTTGGGAAACTTTGTGGAACCTTTGGTTGGTCAGTTGACCTCTGTGGGACTTTGGTTATTGGAAGGTCATCTCTTTTTGATGTTCTCGGTTAACAGAAGAGTGGTGGCCGACGAAGACGTCCTTTGGGGTCTGTGTGAACATACCTGGGTTTCCCGTTGAACTTGCATCTTTCCGCTGTTGGATTTCTTTGCAACTTGGAACTTGACACTTGCATTTGGACACTCTGTTGGCTTGCCTTGACGCCCGTGTTGTTTTCCTTTAAAGCTTGCCTTGGAAATGTGACTGTGTAGACTTGGTGTGTGGAACGTGGCCTTTGAAGCTCAGGCTCCTCCTTTGCTGAGGTTTCGGGATTTCGGGGCTGTGGCGTTGCGACCGGACGAAGTCTTTGTTCAAGCGCATGCGTGTGCATGTGCGAGGGGATGTGTGCGCGACCCATGGAGTCACTGGGGACCAGTTGGTTTTTTTTTGCGTTCTTTTAATTTGATGTGTTCAGCTGGAAGTCCTCTCATCTTTCGTTCTTTCAATTCTGATGTTAGCGGGGGACGGGGGACCAGGCAGGGTACATCGTCGCTTGGTCTTGACAAAGCTGGCTTGGTCAACGGGCGCCACTTCCACGTGCCTGCTCGTTCTAACATTCAACTCTGCCAACCATTGATGCTGGTCTCTCTTCCCTTCGCAAGAGCCCGCTGTACTACTAGGGCCTTGTTCATACTGAGGTGTTTTGGTGGCTCGTGGCATGCGGCATTCATATCGCACGTGCTTTCTCATTTTTTTCCCAAGTGTGTCCTCGTGCAAGCCCGCAGTGGCCCGAAGTAGTGCTTTGATGTGTCTTGCTTGAAAACCAGGAGTCGTCGTATCCTCCCAGGGCAAAGGAGCGGAGAGCTTTGCTAAGACCTGACGTGGCCGCAGTGGCCGTACGTTTGTCAGGAGCCTTGTCCGGAATTTAGTGCCCTCTCCTCTCGCTCTCCTCTTTTCCTTTCCCTTCCGCTCGCCGTCTTGGGGCAAAAGAGAGCACCAGTGACAAAATGGTTCCGGCACCAAGTTCTCCCAAAAAAGACCTTAATGATGAATTTTTATGAATTTTTGTTGGTGCCCTCCTGCGCTTTGTTCGGAGGAAAAGCGGGTTCTAGCAATCGGACGTTGGACAAAGCATGACACGGGAGATGGATCTTCGAGGGTCTGTGCGGGAATGTTGGGGGCGTTTGGGGGCTGTCACATCGCTTGTTGGGGTGTCTTGATTCAAACAGGTTGCTCTAATCGTATGCAAGGGCTGGCTTTCGTCCCTTCACTTCTCAGGCGTTCGGCCTCTACAAGACTTGGAACCCATAATTGCACTATTCCTTGGATTTGCATGAGTGCCTGCAGAACACACATATCTCAAGCAAGTTGAGAGGTTGTGCCAGAGCTTCTTGAGTCGGATCCAGCCCGGTACTATTTGATAATCACTGGCCATGGGAAGGCGGGCACAGTATTTATCACCAGTGTTTGAGTCATTTGGTCCACAGCGACTCAATGTTTCCGGTGTGCAGGAGCACAAAGAGGGCTCGGTCATTAGCGACACGACAAGGCATTTGCTGGCCTTTCGCCTGCATTGGTTTGGACAGTTCTAGGCCCGGCTCGATGGCTTTGCGGCATGTCCCGCGAGAACCTCAGGACAGCCTTGGACTACGATTTCGTTTGCCAAACAAGAAGGAGAAGGTGGAAGTACAAGCACAAGCAGCGGGCGAGGCTGAAAGGGTTGAAACATCACATCGACGCTGCAACATCATGCAACTCAATGACCGCAGCAACAAACACCTTTTGACAATCACGATCTCAGGACTTCGGAGCTTTCAGTTTGACCAAGAAACACTTGTCCGCGCAAACACTGCGCAGGCCCGTGCATTGAATTGTCAGGCCAACCAAGGACATAAACATTTACCTCTTTTTAGCCTTGCATGTGTGTCAGGCAACTCAAGCTTCCGAGTCTTTGGCGGCTTTGGGTAAAAACTGTCCGAGTCTTCACAGTTGCTGCACGGGCATGGTGATCGAGCAAGTTGAACAAAACGAGTCGTCGATCTTTGAGTGTCAGACTGTCAGGCCTCCAGACAGGATGTCACAAGGTCAGCTTGAACCTGGAAGTTGCAAGTGAGCAAAGAGCTGGATATATTTAAGACTTGTACAATTAGCATCCATTGACGACATCAATCAATCCCAATAGCCAATAGCCAATGGTTTTTGCATGTGGGACGAGCAAAAAAAACACTGTAGAGTTGTCTCCTTTCCATTTTGGCTCACAGTTTGTACAGGTGGATGTTTTATTTGATCAACAAAACACATGTCTATCGGTATTCTTCCCATCTTAATGGTGTTGGTTTCTTCGGAGCGTGTTCCTTCGGGTTCAGACGTATTTTTGTTGACATTTGTTGATGAACATTTTGATGTGCATGTTTTTGTGGCATTTTGTGGAAAGGAGTCTTGCCTCTTGGAGCCTTTAGTGTTTCACTTGCGATGGATTGCGTGCGGTGAGTCCGGGTGAGTCAGCAGATTATGACCAACGCACAGAGTGCACAGCACCCTTCGCACTTTTGGGAGGTGCGGGGATTTGGGACGGAAGGGCAAAGTGGACAGTCAATTCTTCTTGTTCTGGTAGAGAATGCACCATACTATATTTGCTAACACTTCTTAATTGCATGGTTGTATTGAATTGTGTTGCGTCGACGTTTGCTTAGGTCCCTCCAACCTACGAGTGGGATCATGAAACGTCATACAACTACAGGGTCGAGGGCAAACTGATGGTGGGACCTTACAAGACTATCCGGCAGAAGATGGACTTTGAATACCATGGATGCTACGATCTGAAGCGGCAGAGGCTTCAGGATGCAATCATAGAAGCTGTTGTTGGCAATGGGCCTTCAGATCCTCATCCATGGATTGTTTTCACAGCAGGGTCTTTCTTTGCAGGCAAGTCCTGGGTTGTGTCATGGATGCTTGAGCAGGGCTATATGCCTTTGGATGTAGTAAGAACCGACCCAGACTTGATCAGAACACAGTTGCCAGAATGGTCAGGGTATCTAAAGCGAGATGGGCCAGAAGCAGCTGTGATGACACAGCGAGAAGCAGGGACTTGTGCTCTCATCGCCCAGTGGGAAGCTATGCGCCAGGGGCGTCATATATTAGTGGATGGCTCGCTCCGGAAGCCTGGCCGCAGTTCTTTTGGTGTTGATGCGGAAGGGTAATCTTAACATAGTGGTTAGAATATGTTAGAATGCACTCATGTTTTGTGTCCTTCCCTGGTTGCGGGAAATGCATGAGTTGTCGTTTTCAACTGTGAATGCAAAGTCGTTTTTGCTCTTTTTTGTATTGTTTGACCCATGAAGGAATGCTGATCGACAGAAAGCCTTCTTTGCTGAAATTCGAGCAGCATATCCACACTATCGGATAGCCATCATACATGTCTTTGCTAGTTGGGATATAATGCAGCAACGGTCATCTGTCGCACGTGAGGGTGGGCGCGTAACCAGCCCAAAGGCTTTGCGCACGTCATTCGACGCGGTGACAAAGTCCGTTGCAGCATTGGAGATCTTAACAGACCTTACAGTGCACATCAATAATGATGGATGTGAGCCACGTTTGATGTATTTTTCCCAGGCCGGGGAAAGAGTTCGGGAAAGAGATCAGACATGGAAGGGCATTAGAGCGGCATTCCAGCAAGCGCCTGGGGCAAGCTTTCGCCTACTGCGAAGATTTGTCGTTCTGATGATGGTAACTGGACTCGCGTGCTTTCTACCTCTTTTGGGAACGGCGAAATGTAGCGAAAAGCATTTTCCATTTCTGAATTCATGAAGCTGCAGTTCTCAGCTTTTGAGGGCGTTCGAGGCTGCGAATCGAATCTTCTCCTTGCTAACAGATGAGCGACCTTGTTGTGCACAGCGCTTCATCGGGCAAAAATATATACAATCGTAATCAAAGAGATATATATATAATATGAATTGATATATTTTGATATATCGAAATATATTGAATTATAATATATTGTTTCTCGAATTTATGGATATATTCTAAGAATGAGGTAATAAAATTAATTAAATAATTATTTATATATTGTTTCTATAAAATTATAGAATATATAGATATATATTGAAATTATGATATCATATTAAAATATATATATAATTTGATTATGTAATTTAAATATTTATATATATATATTTAGTTATATTTAATTTAATGAAATTTAATTTTATAATATAATGTATAAATGGTCTTATTTAAATATATATATATATATATAAATTATATATAGAATTTTTTTAAAAAATATATATTAATTTTAAATTTCGATATTATTTTGGAAATATTATTATTTATTATATTTATTTTTATTATGATTTTATTTAGGATTAATTATTGCTAATATTATAATTTATATTTTAATTTTTTGAAATTTTTTTATTTATGACAATAGCATTGAATGGATCCGGCTATATTGATTTTTATTTTTATCTTTTCTGTAACGGAGATAATGATTTGGTTACGTCCTGGCCGCGCAGAATCTAAATTAAGAGGATTTATAGATGGGTATATTTTCGAACAATTTAATATGGATATTTATTTTTTTTTGATATACCGCGGCGCTTTAACTAAAATTATAGACGATGCAATTAATAATTTGTAGATATATTAATGAAGAAATATTGAAATTGATATTTTAATTAATCCTTGGATATATTTGCAATAGAAAAAATTGGTTGGAATTTTAATGCTTCCTGATCCGCATTTGAATGACATTGTATAGCCACGTCTACGAAGAACGCTTCGATCTTGGATCTTGGAGCTTGTCTGTGATGAATTGGCTAGGCCTGAATATATTGTATCCGCAATGCATTCAGACGGTCGTCTCCTTCAATTCAGGTTCTGCCTTGATCGCATCTATGATTTCCTAATTGGGTATTAATATTCCTGGAAAATGCTTAAGGACACGGGGCCATTGCTGACCAATCGGGCCAAGATCTGGAACAATTTATATTTTTTATTTTGAATTATATACCAAGACAACATATATAGATTTTGATGGCCGAATTTAATACGACACTTCACCAGGATCCGCCATACATTAGCAATCAAGATGTACGTGCCTCTAAGAATTCTTATATTGATTATGATTTTCTTCATCAATTGCTAAGGATATAGGATCTAAATGCATTATAAATAATATTATATATCCATATTCGCATATGGAATCCATCATTCATGGATTGATTATATCTTTATTAGGCAATATCAAATCCAATTTCGTCGTATGCAAGCCACCACGTCGTATGCATAATCGTATGCAAATCTTGATCCATATCATTCCATATGATTATCCTCTATATATTATTCTGCCAGGTGGTTTGCGCCTCGGAAATCTATTCTTTCATTAAAGATTATAAATAGATTTGCCATCAGACGAGAACGATTAAATTAGATTCATCATTGATAATATTTTGAAGCCAATATCAAGGATTGCATTCCACATTATATCAATGATTCCTAGCCATCGAAGATCTCCATATATATTTTAGAAAATACCATTAATATTCTATATATCCAATATTTTTCCAAAAAGAAAGATATCCTTATGGATGGACCCATGGTTCCTTCCCTATCAACCAGGATATGGCAATCTCGGAAATAGGTCCTTGCCATTGGAGGCCGCTTGCCACAGGATCTCTTTCGTTATTGGATTCATATCGCAACATATCAAATTTTGCACAGGACCATTCGTAAGCAGAACCGACAAAATAAACGAGACAAACTCCACCGGATCCTTATTGCAGATGCAGATCTCGCTTTCCGCCGGACCTTTGATTGGTATAGAAAGATTAGATTCCTTTGCCCAAAGCAACACACCAGACGCATTCAACTGTTTGATGCACATGATATGCCTCTGAATTCTCAATAAGAATTAATATATATTGAATAATATTGTAGTAATTTATTTGTAGATTCGGCCATTCATACCTTTGATATTAATCCAATCGATTTCCATTCATATGCCACGATGAGGTCTCTAAATTGATGACGATGCCTAATATCAAAGCACTAGCACCTGATGCATTTCAAACACTAAGTTAGAAATATTTTACAACAAATCTTATTGATCCACTAATACATCAATATCGACAAATATATATATATTACTAATTTAATCAATCCACCTAAATACTAAATCATTAGGTAATTCCCAATAAGCCGCAAGCCCTTCGACCAATATATCTTTAATTCAAATTATTAAACATAATCATAAATTAATATATAATAAATTCGTAAATATAGTTATTTATAATATATATAATATTCTATAATATTAATTTCAAAATATTATAAATCATAATTTTATTAAACGGCATAAATATATAATATAATACCAATAAAATTCAATATAATAGATCGCCAAGAATGAACAGAATAAATAACCTAGAAATCAACCGACATTCCATCTTTAGACCCACACCCTTTTTTTTAGATAATAAATAATAGATAAATAATATATAATATATTTTTCATAATTTCAATATTATCTATTTTCATAATTAATCTATTAAACAAAATATATCAAAATAATTCTTTTCGATATAAACCGATCAACAATAATCATTTATATATATACCAATTTCAAAATAAAAAATATATGTAACAATTGAATCATTCATATTAAAATACGAAATATCACATATTTGTGTAATTTAAATTAACAACCACCATCACCCAATAAATCCCAAATATACAAACACAAAAACGCAATCACAACAACCACACATTCACAAATATTCAACCACAAACACTATCACACACACTCAATCAAAAATACAATCCACAAACACACAATAACAACACAAACGCAAACACAATCACAAACACACAACCACAAACAGGCAACCACAGACCACAACCACACACGCACAATCGCCAACACACGGCCACAAGCACAATCACAAACTCAAATACAACCACAAACATACATCAAATGTCATAGTAACGCATCGGTCGAGATAAAAAAAAAATATTAATTAATAAAGAAATATACCTAAAATTTCAATTTTTAACATAACCCAGAATCTCAAAAATACAAGAAAACTATTTCAAAGATAAATGTACTTATATGCATGAAAGATAATTAGAAACGCAATTAAAAATGGTGGGTTCGGTAATGCGTCCTTTCCTTCAGATATGGCCGCAGCTGGTGCTCGGCATTTCATCAGGTCTACGCGACCTCTTTAACTTGGCCCCAGCCTTTCTCTTCGGTATCACTTAGTTTGGCGCTACCTGCAGGTCCTACCT